ATTTATCTTTGCCTCCACAGTTTATGCTATTTATGTATTGTCCTCCTATTTTTATTTTAAAGCTATAATATAACTTTTTCAATATAATTTTGGTATTTTCTTATTTAACCCTGGAAAGTGGCAAGGCAGGAATTAACATCCTAATTTTAAATATAAAAAACCAAGACTCTGAGAGTTTAAGTGATTCGTCTAAGTTTACCCAACCAGCATGTTAGTTCTGGGATCCAGACTAAAACCAGATCTACCAACGCTAGGTCAGTACTAAGTGATGCCACCTCTTGATAGTCTAAAACTAGTTTTGTTGCTTTCTTGTTTTTATTTCCAAAATTTTGGTATATTTACATCTTGAATTTTTATCATCTTTCAATATGATTTGCACACCAATTTTTTCTTATTAATGTGTTGGCCTTATATTAATTACTGATGAAAAAATAGTGGTGATTCAAAGTCCTTGGATTGTCTGGCAGCAAAGAACAATCCAAGAAAATGAATTGGTCTCACTTCTAATTATTTCTTGGCTGTGTGGCTTCCCAATTCTCTGGCCCTTACCTGTATAATATTAGTCTTTTGGGTCTTTGTACAATGTAATAAGAGAATGTGGTGGAAAGATGAACCCAAGGAAGGGAGGTTTTTTCCTTGAAGCCAAGAGCCCAAATGGCCCAAGTCTTCCACTCCAAAGCTCCTTTCTCTTGGATCCTATTATGGCCCCATGAGGCTTAAAAGCTGGAAGGGCCTCTCCCAAGGGAGAGCCAGCTCCATGCTCTTCTCATCTTCAAACCCTTCTTATTGTCCCATTTCCCTAGTAGGAAAGTGAAGAAGGATTGGAGAAAAGAGATTCAAAGAGTCAATCTAGAAGAAACACATGCCTTAGCACCTCGTCTCAATTGTGTGTCACTGGGGAAGCCACTTTTTCTTGGCTCATCCTAGTGTACTTTTCCTCTGGGACTGGAAACAGGGAAAACATTGAGTTTTGTAGCTAAAAGCATAGGTCACTCGATTTTTTAATTGAAATTCACTTTAAGTATATTTAAAAACTCGGCTCTTGGTGGACAATCTAAGGCAACAAAATAAAAAGTTGTTCTAATTCATGTAATTATTGTTCAATTTCTTCCTGCTTGAAGTAGCCTTTTCTTACTTTTAAAGTTTAAGTAATTTACAAGTGATAAAGACTAACTGGAACTTAAAGCAAACATAATAAGTCAAGAGGGTCTATGGGAAGAGTTGGGGCATATGGCAGTTCTCTCACTCTACATAATCACGAGAATCCTACAAGAACTCCATGTTTATAATAAAGCTTTATGATTCTAACTTACCCTTCTATTAACTTCCTTTTCCCTTATATAAATACCCCTCCATTTTGGCCAGAGTCTGCGTGTGGCTTGCCATGTGTGCATGCACTGGGCTGCAACCCTTTCTTTTCCCCAAATAAATCTCTTTTGATGGTGAAACACCTAGTCGATATTATTTTTCATTCGACACAAGTATATATCTTTCTTTGGCTTTTCATTCTTGAAGAGGGCCTTTTCTAGGCTGCGTTCTTTTTCCAATTCCAGGAAATTTTCTTCTCTCATATCCTTAATTTGTACTTTTCAGCTGCCTGTCTAATATGTTTACTCATAAATCTCTTTGTTTAGGACTTTGAATTTATATACTCTATTTTCGAAGTTAATTGTATCTTCTTGACTTATTGTGATAAGACTAAGTAGTACTCTTTTATTTTTCAATATGTCTGTTGATTTACTGCTTTGTGAATCTGTTCCAATTTTTCTTTTTTTTTCTGCTTCCAACTGTGTGGTGTGGACTTTGCTAAGAACTCTGATCAGTTTTCAGAGGCTCAACATCTAGTCCTGGCACTGCCACTAAGCAGCTAAATAAAAGAAAAGTGTGTCAATCAACCACTTTGGGCATCAATTTCCTCTCTGTGGAAGTGAGCTTATCTGAGAGGACTGCCGTGACAAGCAAATGAGATATTCTGTATTAAAATGTTCTGTTAACAATAGAAATACACAAATATAAAAGGTTACTGTATGATGTTTACAATTATGTTGAAAAAATTTTAAATCCTTTTTCTTTTATGTTATGAATCCTAGATTTCTGTTCTTCCTTGAATTATATTTGTAACCCTTAATGCGTTTTAGATTCTAATATTTCTTTGGAGATGGGGAAGCTCTTTTCATTTATACTGAAATATTTGGTTCTTTGTTGACCTTGAATTTGTTTATTTTATGTCGTGGATTTTGTTTTGGTGAGTATTGTCCTATGAAAGGCATTTCAGTGGAGTTAATATGAAAGAAACATCATCTTGCACTATACAATACAAAGGCCTACAGAGAAGCATATTCATTATTTTTTTTCTTTTTCGGTGGAAAGTTTGTTCTTGTATTATAAAAATCATTTCTAATTTATTCTATCTAGCTAAGTAAAATGTGAAGAAAGTGTTGTGAGGTGAAGGAGATGCCTGGTTTTGGTGTGAAGAAACAGAAACACACTGGGCAAATAAAGGGCAAGATTTGGATTGATGAGGTAGGGTTAGATTTTGTGGAAGTCAAAATTATTTCAATGTATCTTAGTTATAGAATTATAATTTTAGGTAACAAAGGGCTTTGGAGAAATAAATTACTGTGTTGAAAATGCTCTTCTTAACAAGATGAGGAAAAGAGAGTTAGAGAATATTTATATCCTGGTGACCACAAAATAATATAAACAAAGAAGGAGCTAGAGCAAAGATCTTTTAAAATTAAGTTATTCTTTCTGTGAGCTTAATTACAAGATTTCCTTCATATGTTTACTAATTAGTGTGGTAAAGACCAAGGTTCTTGTGAGACAATAGAAAATATATATTGGTCTCTGCCTGTGGTTTCTGGCACACAGCTAAAACCTGTCTAATTTTCTAAGTGATAATAGCACTAAGAGCATCTTTGTTCTAAAATTTGGTCTTTGACCTCAGTTCCTGACACAGAGTTTCTAAATAATTTGAAATTTCCTGGGTGTAGCAATGTCTTTGCTCTAATGTGGTGACTCTTGGTAGGCTCCTAGATGGAGGCCGGTCACCAGAAAGACCAAGCCATAATCAGAAGCTTGGAACTGTTGACCTTAAGCAAAAAGTCAGCTACATGTTCCTCCAACAAAAAGGGTTTATTTGGGGGTGAGGGGAGAATTGCAATCCAGAACATGAAGCCATGGCAAGTCATATGTAAGTTCACCAGCACGGATAAGGAGGAAGTTCTTTTATAGATGGGAAAAGGACATTAAGAGGTCTTCGCCATTGATGTAAGCATGAAAGCGCCTCTTATAGGTCCTCCCTATTCCAATCTGGTTGAAGTTATCTATTTATTTTTTTTAATAGAACTTTCAGCCCCATTGTCTATTCTCCAGAAAGGGAAGAGGGGCTGAAATTGAGTTAATTATTGATCATGCCTATGTGATAAAGCCTCCATAAAAATCCCAAAGGTATAAGGTTCAGGGGATTTCCTAGTTGGTCAACACATGATAGTGCTGGGAGAGTAGCTTGCTCTGAGCAAGCATGGAAGCTTCACGTCCCTTCCCACACACCTTGCCCTATGTAAATTTTCATCTGTATCCTTTATCATATCCTTTCATAATAAACCAGTAAATGTAAGTACGTGTTTCCTTGAGTTCTGTTTCCTTGAGCCATTCTAGCAAGTTATTAAACCCAAGGAAGGGGTTGTGGAAACCTGTTGGTCCAAAGTACAGGTAACAACCTGGGACTTATGATTAGTACCTGGTGTGTGTGTGTGTGTGTGTGTGTGTGTGTGTGTCGTGGGGGTGGGGGCAGTCTGGTGAAACTGAGCTCTTAATCTGTGGGATCTGACACTATCTCCAGACAGTGAGTATAAAAATTGAATTAATTGTGGGACACCCAGCTGCTGTCACAGAAAATAGCTTAGTGTGGGGAAAACCCCACACATCTGGTGTCTGAATTGTAGATGAAAGAAAAAAACAAAAATGTTTCCCCTGATTAATCTAACCAGAATGTGTTTCCTCGTTCTTCCACAAGTCAGGGAAAGGACTGGAAGGGTAAAAAGGAATGAGAAGGAGAAAAATGTTAAAAGAAATAAACAGAAGATATATGAGCTTTCAAAGCCCTCTGTGAAAGCAGAGTCCAGAATGGTAGCATACGGTCTTCGATCACTCAGGTATCATCAACCCGAACTGTGGAAATCCATAGAGAAGAAACCATTTTCTTAAGTAAACAGCAAAGTTTGAGAAGACTTCTGATTTAATTCACTTGAAACAGTGGGTTCTTTGGAGAGAAGTGAAGACCATTCTGGTCATATGGATAGAGAATGCCAAGCCAGCTGGGAAGGAGATGAACTTAAAAGACGAAAAGACATGATTTAGTCTTAGACTGATAGAAGGTAGCATTTATAACTATGTGATTATCAATTGGTTTATATTTTGTTCTTCAAGGAACCATTACAACTTTAATAATATGGGTGTATTATACTCACGACTTCTGTGTTGAAGTAGTATAGCCTAATAAACTGGGGAGTCCCTGAGGAACAGCATCAGAGTATACAGAAGAGAGCAGTTTACATTGTAAGTAAGAGCTTCCCTACCCTAAGGGAAAGGAGTTGTTCCATGTTCTAGCCTAGCTCATTAGAATTCTACCCTGGGACTGGGAACCAAGGCTCAGGTGGTAACAGAGTATTATTTAACATTGCATTGTTCTCTAGGACTATATTTACCTCAAGAAATTCAGGGAGTGGTGTCTCATTAAAGATAGATTATGGTCTTTGAGTCTCATCTTCCAACCATACATTTATATAGAAATATAAGTACCCTATTTTGGCATGACATATATGTAAAAATATACATTGAAATACAATTAAAATGGTGTACAAGGTATTTAACAACATGGGGAAAATGACAGATATATTGCAAAAAAATATGGATTCTTAAACTATAAGCAAATATGACACTTAAAACTTTATTATTATATATGCATAAAAAGAAAAACATATAATGAATAACTCAGCCATTAAGATTGTTTACAGAAAAAAATTATTAACATAAGACAAATACTTGTAATGTTAAATGAAAAATGTAGAGTGTTGTATAATTAGTAATCAAATAAAGTGTGATTTTAATTAAATTAAGTGAAGAAACTAGAAGGCAGTACACGAGAACACTGACAATGGTTTCCTGGGGGTCTTGCAGTTATTGATGATGGAGTTTGGTAAGAGAGAATTCTTTTTTCATATATTTCTGTACTCTTGTGCAAGTGCTTTATTTACGATTATGTAAACACTTTTAAATGTCTGCAACTCTTAAAATGTAATGTTTCAGGCTAAAGAAGCTCCTAAATATTTTAGGAATTTACCTAACTGTAATATAAAGAATAAATCTGAACAGCTACCATCTGTAAAAAAAATTAGATATGTTCTGTGTCAGTGTAGGCAGGACAGTAATCAGCCGTTAATAGACATAAAAGAACAGATTTCAACTCAGTGTAAACAAGAGTTTTCTCATACTTAGAGCCATCCCACAATGGAACGAGTTCCCTCATGACGCTGAGTGCTGGAAGTGGTCAAGAAGAGGGAAGAGAGCTTTTTGCCCTAGGGGTGAGGGGTTGTTGGGGGAGAAAGATGAGGAGACAGTGGGACTAGACGATCTCTAGCAGCCTTTTCACTGCTAACATTTTATCAATTTATCATTCATTCACTCATTCATAAGGCCTCCCAAATGGTTCCCAGTGATCCTTGCCTACTAGTGTCTCTGCCTTATTTAATTCCCTCTCACATTGGATAAGCTGATTCATGTAACCAGTAGGACATTGTGGAAAGGATGGAGTATGACTTCAGAGGCTAGGTCATAAAAGACATTATGGCTTCTGCCTTCTCTTTCCTGAATTGTTCATTGTGGCGTAAGCCAGATGCCATGTCATGAGGACGCTAAAGCAGCCTGTTGCGAGGCCTATACAGAGAGGAACCGAGGACTTCTGGTTCCTCTTCTTTCTTTTCCAATAGAAAAAAGAAGTGTGTTCTTTGTTCTCCTATGGATTTGATATCTATAGTTGCAGCTATAATTGTGTCATTTACATTTCTCAGCTCTACCCATCCATATGCTCAGAAGAAAGTTATAAGAAAGCTACAAATTGCAATAAAGCATTTTGAAAGGATTTTGTTTTAGCATTTCAGCACCTACCAGAGATTTTTATCTGTGTAAACAAGCCAAAGGCAAAGGCAAAAATTCCATGACTAAATCACCTCTTAGAGATTTTTTTAAAAACTCTATTTTTTTAACATCTGAAAGTTATGAGATATTCTGGGTAAGCTTGATTATCAAAGAATACCACAAATAGCTTTGGATGTTGTATATCATCTGTGACAGAGTCAAACAGATCTGTGTGATCGTAAGGGTTCTTTGATGGAGGGGTAATTAATCCTTCACGTCCAAGTGTGTAGAGTCCTGTAAGTACTCGTACGACATAAATATGCTTCCTCCCGTTGCTGTCTGGTCTGGAGTATTTATCATTAGCAGAAAAACTGGCATCAACAGCAAAATAGGTTCCTTTTCCATATGCCACAGCTGTGAAGAGAACAACAAAAGCCTAAGAACACAAAATTATCAGAGTAAATAGAACCATGCCCAACCTGACAATAATATATATAAATATATAAATAAATAAATAAACAAATATATATATATATATATATATATTTTAATGTGGTTCTTAGAAACCAAAGACACTTTTTGTCATTTAAAAAATTCACTCAATCTGCCCTCAGAAGGTTGCCAGTCTCTTTCGGGTGAAACACAATGAGCTTTATCCTGATAGTGACGAGATTGCTGCTATCTGTGGTTCTATGCTGCTAGGGTATGAATAGTTGACACTGGAAATACCATTCATTTCGTTCTGATTAGTCAGATTATGTGCTTCATTACCGTTCTTCCCAGCATGACTGCGGTTAAAGCCATGCTGATTAACGTGTGGCACTGAGTTTGCATCTGTCCCGTGGAAGAGGATTCTCTCATTATCTGTAAGGCCATTCTTGATGTCCATTTGCTTTTTCTTTATCTGGTAGCTCTGCCAGAGAAATTCATTCTGTATCCTCTCAATCTGCAAATGACAAAAAGCAACACACTTTGGAAATGACCTTAGAGTTCACTCAGTATAGTGTTTGTAAGCAATATAGAGAAGGAAAAGAAAATAAACAGCAAATTCAGAGAGTAAGTAGTGACAGGAGTATAATTCTGAGATGGTCCAAATTAAATTACAATGGGCTGGAGAGTGAGAGAAAGAAACAGAACAGTTAGCCAGTTAACAGCTGGAGTGGGCAAGGAGGGGGAAGCAGGGCGCAGCTAACAAGACCGCTCACATTCTTGAGTATATGTTGAATCTTTGAATTAACTTCCAAGTGGCTATTTCTGAAATTATCTAAAAGAGAGAATAGCCAGGCACCATCAAATCCCAGGAGCCTCTGCTTCTTGTTTGCAGATGAACTTTCCAGACTGTTGCCCACAACCAATCCCAAAGAGCAAACACTTCTTCCCTAGGACTCTGCACTTATCCTGGAACTAGCCCCGCTTCCCCTTCTCCCAACTCTTTTATGTATAGTCAATGTCAATTCTTTCAGAACACTTCCATCTTCCTCCTCTCTAATCGATGTATAAAAAATGTTCGCCAACTTCAGGATGGCAGACCTTTTGCCTTTTCACCTGGCACTGCTGCTGGTGGTTGGAACTTCATGCCCCAGGACCTGGTCTTTTTTTCTTGCTAGCAATGGCCCAATAAACACTTTCTTTTAAAAGATTTCGGCCGTGGAAGTTAAAATATTGCTTAACAGTAGCTTTCTGCCTTTAGAAAAAGGATAGCTACAAGTATCTAGGCTTTGTAATAGTGCTTAATTTATTTATATAACAGAACTTATCATTTATGTAAAATTGTTTACCTATATCATACATTCCCTGGAATTCCTAGAGATATACTGCCATTCAAATTTCTACTAAAAAATTTGTTAATTACTTAATAATTATTTCCTTAACTCCATCTGATCTCCATATCCATCCCAATAATAGTTCCTTCTGCATTGCTCCAATTACCATCTCAAATCACCTCATAATTGTCTAATCTAATAATTATTTCTTTCCAGAAACATCAACAGCATTTCAAACCATGAACCAGCCCCTCCTTGAAATTTTGTCCTTCTTTAACTTTTTTCAGAAAATCATTCTCTGTTGGTTCTCATTTCTTCTAGAAAATGAATTTAACATACATTCAACAATCATCTATTAAATATCTAATATAAATCAAGCACTGTGTTGCGTCTCTATCCTCAAGAAACTTTCAGTCTAGTGGAGGAGAGAGGCAAGAAAATAAATCACTACCCCTCAGAGTGATAAGGGATGGGTTAAGAGAATGGACATGTAGTATGAAAGCATAAGAAAGGGGTCCAGATGATCTATGTCTAAGGAGAGAGCAGAAAATCTCAGTGAACAATGTTCTAGAAACAATGGCAGAAGAGAGGCTGAAGATGAATGGAGTAGATATCTGCAGCAGATGTCAAAGAGAAGTCAAGTAATAAAAGCAGGAGGGAAAGTTATTTTGCTGAGAGTGACGGAGGCCTCAAGGAGAGTGATGAAGGTTTGGAATGGGGATCGCATGATGGAGTTGACTGGAGGAAGCAAGGAAGGGTTCCAGGCATCTGGAGGGTCCAGCTGAGGTTGGGGGCCATGAATCAGTAATGATTTTATCTAGGAACAGTAGGAGAGAGGGTAGGTTATGGAATTAATCCAAAGCTTGGGTTCTTCAGATGGATATGATAGAAGAATACAAGCCAAGAACATTGCAGATATTGGGTAAACATAATGGAAGCAAGGTTCTAGTACTCTCAACAGTACTAACATCACAAAGTATCTCCTTTAAATTCTGTCCTTTATCCAGGGTCTCTCTTTTCTGATTCTCCTTCTTTCTCAGGAATTTTCATTCATTCAATTAAATTCCTTCAATAGTATTGTGTCCTATAATATGCTAGGTACTGGGAATGCAGAGATGAGTAAGATGTGACTCTTCTCTTATGAAGTCCACTGTCAAATGGGGGAGTCAAGCATGTGAAAGGTGATCAAAGCACAATTTCATAAGTGCTATCATGCACAGTTTTATGGAAGCATCAGCTTGATTTTAAATTATTAGGATGGCACACCCTGCTCTGATATGCACAGTATGATAAGGACCTTCAAATAAACTCCTATACTTTACTGGCTAATACTTTTATGCAGCATACTGAACATCGTGGGATCTCTGAACACCCATTCCACTTCATCCTCATTGTGCAGCAATTCCTGGTTTGGGTGAGGCTGGCCCCACCTATAGTTCTAAGATGGATCCTAATTGGGTTAAATGAGTCAGGGTAATCTCATGATGGCAGCACACAATGATGGGATCCAATAACCCAGGTCCAAGCCAATCAGCGTATGGAACACCCTTGACACAGACTGGGCAGAGTGATCCACTCAAAACAAAGTCTGGGACTCTTATCTAGTGGTTGTGGGACAGGACACAGTGTTTCTTCCACAGGATGTGAATGGGGGATGCTGAGACCCCTTCATCGCCACCAGCAACCATCCTATAATCACAAAGGGAGTCGAGCCTTCAGATGAAACTGACACTGTGGACAGCAAATCCAGAGAAACTGAATCCATGACATAGGTAAGTCACTGGATCGAACTGCTCCAAACACCATCCTACTTTTGGACTTTTCATTAATTTATAATAAATTTCTTTTTAAAATCAGTTTTAGTGGGTTCGTGAATTGTTAGTGAAAATGTCTAAACATATACATGTGGCTTTTGGGAATCTTCTTCAATACTGCTAATGAATGAATCAAGATTTGAAGTCTATAGATCTCGAGTGAGTCTAATTAAAATATAGTAAGGTACACAGGAAGAGTGATATATAAAAAGATGGCTTCCATGTTAATTCTTCAATATTTAAAAGAAGTAAAATTTAAATGCAATATTACCTTCTCTATTCTGTAAGAATGACAAGTCTGAAAGAACTTGTCCTTCACCATGTTATATTCTGACTGTCCAGGTTGTAGCTGGATCACACAGGTCAGCCGCTGATTCATGTCAGTCCAGTTTTCAGGAATATCATCTGGAAAGTTAGCATTTGGTAAAAACATGACATCCATTTCAAGGAACCTCTAAACATTAAGGCATTTTCTATGCACTTTTTTCTCATTCATCTAATCTTGGTCTTCAGGGTGACTGAGGGGAATAAAGCTACATATTTTACAGTTGCTTATTTTGTTACTCTCAATTTGGTAAACACAGATGAAATGAATGGTTCTGACACTAATACAAGTTAATTAATGGTCTACCTAAATCTAAAATATTTAGATAAACTTAGATTCACTGTAGCTTAAAATTATAATTTTCCCAGAAAGTTCTATGGAATTAGTTCCATGAGAAATGGATAAGTAAACATGAAATCTCATTTACTGATGTTTTCACTTTCATCAGTCTTATTTAGTGTGGTTCTTTATTATTTTTCTTTTGAAACATGATTACCCTGCTAAAGGTATTTAAAGCACATTGTTCTGTATCCCATCTTCCACACTAAATAAACATTATATAAAGAAAATAATGGTAGTGCTAAGTGAATGCTTTTGTATAAAGTGGTGATGTTCAAAGTTTTCCTTTGCTTTCCAATGGCTTTCAGAAACTTCTAACACATTGGGGCTACACGTCAACTTGTTGAGATGGCATGACTGGTAGAAATGTGAACAGATTCTATTAGAGAAGAAAATGGCACAAAAAGGCACAATACCCTAGATAAAAACCAAAGGATTTTTCCTTACAAACAAAGCCACAATTTACTTATTTCCAATGAAAGATATACCTGGCCCGAGAGAGGGAACCAGGGCTCTTACTCCCTTCTTGTTTAGCAAGGCCATTCGGGGAACAGAGTTTTGGTGACAAAGGGAAGCATCTAATCCCAATATGGAAGGTCTTTTCGAATTCCATTCTCAAAGAGTTTTTCTGGAGAAGTTTCCCATGATAGATATGTAGTTTCTACAAATTAAGTTATTTTCTTTCCCCCACATCCGTCCCTTCCAGATCTTTTGGCCTAATCATTTCTAGTCCTAGGCCTCAGAGTCCTCGTGGACCTGCTACTTTCTTTTCTCTGAATGCGGCAAGCAAGACTGGGAAGTAAGCGAAGTATTTTCTTGGACCTTGTCTTCCTTTCACGCTATAAGGTTGCAGAGCAGAAAACTACCAGCACTTGGAGTCAGAAGACCAGATTAGCCTCAACCTGTAACCAGGAAATGATAAGAGCTGCATTCTTTATTACCTCTTGGGATTGTTACAAGTTTAAAATATAATAAGGGGTGTGAAAGCACTTTGGAAAATGCTATTTATAAATATTTAGTTATTATTCTTAAAAAATGATTAAGCTTGATTTTTTTAAGCTTGATTATTCTTAAAAAATGATTAAGCTTGAATACATCCCAGAGGTATTTGTACTTAAAAAGGGAGTAAAGTGTCAAGCCAAGGGTATTTTTCTGAAAGAAAGACTTTTTAAAATTACACCCTTAAGCCACACCAACTTGTGCTACCTCCTTTACATATGGACAAAAGGTGACCCTGGCTAGACAATTTAAGGACAAGAAAATTGAGTCCTAGGAAAACTGGGTACTCAAGTATCTGATGTTACATGGAAGGCCACCATTAAAGTAAGGAACAGAGTCGCATCCTATTGTTGTGCAGCCCAGCGCTTCATAAAAACTAACGTGATATCCACCTTTCTTTAAGTATTGGCCAGGCACTTTCCTGAGCCCTTTTCCTATAAATTTTTTTTTAAAAGGGAAGTGTCACTCTCTTTTCCCATTCCTGATGCTCAGATTAAAGGCCCTCCTGCCACCTCTCCTTGTGCACCCTACCCCAACCCCCTCTTCTCACGTGGTGTTGGGATTAAACCCCGGGAATTTTGGCTCTGTCTTCAGTCTTCATCTTTCTTACTCTCCATGGATAATTAAATCCACATTCAATGGCTTCAACTCCCACCTACTTACATGACTCTCAAATCTATATCTCTGATATCTGATATGTTTTTGAGTTGGTGCTCAAAACATGCTCTCTGACTCAATAAACAGCTTTAACATACATTGGAAAAGTAATTGTGTATCACTTGCTCAAATGAAACTCAAAGTTATCTTCTTTAAGTTCTCTTTTAAAGAAGTCCATGTGATAAATTCTTACTAAAATTGAAGTTTATCTTTCCAACAACTTCCTTTTATCTGACATTTCATCTGTATTGTTCCTTTTATCTAATAAAGATCATGTAAGGCAGTTTTGTTGTTTTTGCCTCAAGTGCCATATGGTCACTTTTTGTTTACTTCTCTCTTTAACTTTCCTGTTTTATTATTCAAATTTCATAAGTCAATTTAAATTCTTGATGAATCAGTTTAACTTCATTTTTTACTTTACTAACAATGACTTACAGCTCTTATAGTTATATAAAAATTTTCCTCTTTACTTTTTGTTCACAGGTAAGGTAGGTAGCAGTTTGGTGTGGCTTAAGGGTGTGATTTAAACGTCTTTCTTTCAGAAAAATGCCTTTGGCTTTACACTTTACTCTTTTTTTTTAAGTACAAAGGGGGAAAATATTGATTTATATCTCCCTAGATACCACAGTAGATATGTGTTATTTTCAATTGTCTAGCATCCTTTTCCCCTTCTTCTGGTAAGAGCAGCCTGAATTTCCTTTGGGGGATAACCCTTCCCTGTTGCTTCAGATAGTGATCTCCTCCAGTTCAAATACAGAGCATGTGACTCTGGCTTGGCCAATTAGTGTAATTCTAGTTCCCTGGCTGCAAAGATAACCATAACTGGTCCAATCAGAAGGAATCTCAGGCCTTAAAATGGCACTTCTGTTTCCAGGCATCAGGCTCCTGGTAAGTGATATCACCAATGGATGCGCCTTTTCCTGTTGGACTAATTTACCATACAAGGATATGAACCTGAAGTTGAGAGCAGCCATCTTTCACTATATGAAGCCTAATAATAAAGACAACACAGCTGAGAAGAGAATGAGAGGTAAAGAAAGTCAGGATCTAGATGATATCACATGAGCACCTGCATCAAACTGGGCCTGAAGCCAAATGCGTCTGGACTTTATAGTCATGTGAGTCAAGGAAATCCATTTTTTGCTTAAGCTAGTATAAATTAGTTTTTCTATTATTTGCTACTGTAAGAGCCTTAACAGTTCCAACTATCATTTTTTTTTATTTATTTTGTATGTGTGTGTGTGGAGCTCCTACATATACTGTGTGTTGTAGCACATTGAGGAGAATAGTTGTCAGAAAATAAGTGTAGGGAGAAATGCAATTCGTGTAGGCAGACAACAATTCTCAGTTGAGGAAGGCTGATGGTGACAGGTATGCCTCTTAACTAGTAAAACTCACAGTGCTTTCTGCGTAAGTGCTCAAAATAGGTAAAAAGGGCAACTTCAAGAGGAGGCTGCATTTCTAGTCACAAAATAGGGGAAAGCCAGACCACAGGAGCAGGTCTGCTCATGATGTAGTACAACCAGATGACTCTGGCCATTCTTTTCATACATCTGTTTCTGTTCTCAGGCTAACTTCTCTAGAGGTGGATTATCAATAAACCAGTATTGATCGGCTAGTTCATAGCTACGAGGGGCATTGAGGTTCAATATCGACCAGTAAGGGGGAAAAAATGAGATTATTGGCTAGGATTTTCAAAGCCTATTTCTCTCTTTCTTCTTTCTCACCTCTTCTATCCTCTTCCTGTTCATCTGCTATTCTTGTTTCTTGAGCGTAATTTTGTCCCTCAGAAGAATAATCAGTTGACAGGAGATTGTGTTCCACAGTTCTTGTACTTATCCCATGCATTATAGGAGGTTGTTTGTAAAGTCCTGAAACTGATAGAAACAGTGAGCATTCATATCTAAACATTTTCTAAGCGATATTAGAGAGAATCATGATTTTTTAAAGGACGTCTTACAAGCAGTCTCGGAGAACATACATTGGAGAATAGGTGACATGGAGATTTCTCTTTTCTTCATGATGTCGCAGAAAGCATTTAGCAGTTCAGATGCAAGGACGACGACTTTAACTTTTTGTAATGATGGGGTAGAATGTTTCTGTGCAAAGTCTACAATAGCATTGATTATGTCATCAGCAACTCTGGTTGGGTTTTTTCCAGCATTTCCTGAAAAAATATATTTTTTAAGTGACAAATAGAAGTTTCATCTGGCGTTGGTCATGTGACCAGATTTGGCAAATGCAGTTCTTAGTACTGAGAAAGAGTTAAGTAGCACCTGACATTCAGTCACTGATCTGGCACTCACAGCTGGGTCTTGGTGTTCTCCAGTTGACCACAGATAATTTCACAGAACATCATCAAATGAAATCACTCTGTGACTGTGATGAATTAAGCCAAAAACAAGACCACTGTATAATCATGTCTGACCACAGACAAAAACATGTAAATGGCCAAACCACAAACCACGAAAATGGCCAAACACCCCTCATCTCGACTAATATGAATGATTGCTGCTTTATTACCAATCACAGCTTCAGCCACACTCTTATCTCCTTCCAAATAAGATGCCAAGGGTAGAATTATATCTGCTTCCTAAAAGCATTCAACCCAGAGCAAAGCCCCACTTACTTGAGACTGCCACGAAATCACCTAACACAAGCTCGGATAAGTCTTTTCTAAGAATCTCTTTCTGAGATGCTGCATAGTTTTGCATAGTGCGTGCTCCAGTGATCTTTCACTGAAGGGCATTGAAAGTGTAGAGAAAAGAACATGTGATTTGGATGAAGGCCTGGGTTTATGTCCTGGCTTTCCACTGATGAGCTGTGTGATCTTGGGTAACTCATTTGATACCTCTTATGTTAGTTTTGCTGCGGTTGCCATACAAAGTGCCCTGGACTGGTGGCGTGAGCAACAGAAATGCATTTTCTTAAAATTCTGGAGACTAATAAGTCTGATCAAGGTGTTGGAAAGATTAGTTTTTTCTGAGGCTTCTCTCCTAAGCTTGTAGATGGCCATCTTCTCTCTGTCCTCACATGGTTTTCCCTCTGTACCTATCAGTGTCCTAATCTCCTTTTCTAATAAGGACACCAGTTATATTGGATTAGGGACCATTCCAATGACTTCATTTTAACTTAATTACCTCTTTAAAGGCTCTATATCCAAATACAGGCACATTCTGAGGTACTGGAAGTTAAGATTTCAACATATGAATTTTGTTGGAAGGGACACAACTCAGCCTACAACACTGCTAAACTTCAGTTTACTCAGCTATAAAGTTTGAGTGATAACAGTTGATAACTGAGAAAAGAATGTGGTAGCTAAGAATATAGTAATTAAGAGCATAGTGTAATATAAAAAAAGTGATAGTTGAAATGCACAGGCTGGGCTGTTGGCTTTAAATGTAGTTACGTTAATCACTGGCTATATCACCTTGTGCTTTAATACCTCAGGTTCTTATCTGCAAAATGGGTAAACAAACAGTCAGGAGTGGGTCCACGTTTTGCAGGGCTTGAAATTTATACATCTCAGAAAAAGATTACAAAATTAAAAATATAAAATTATGTATTAAAGTGAATATTTAGAATTAGAAATCACCACAAAGTATAAGTTTTAAAATGTTGAAAATCATTCCCAAGTCAACGTTCCTAAGGCGTGTTCAAAAAAATGCTTGCAGCCACTCCAACACCCAGTGCCAGCAGAAGTCTGAGTAGTGAAAGTAGGAAGCAGCAGTGGCCTTAACCCATGGTGGTTAAAATATCTTACTTTCAAAGTTTTACTAAATCATAGAACTTTGTGAGGGCATTACCAGGGCCCCTTTTAGGGCTTTTCAAAAAGCCTGTGCAATTGGGTGTGAATGAATCAGGGAGTGGGTTATTAACATCACCTTAAATTAAGAGCGAATTATTGTCTGATATAATAGAGATGACGAGGAAAGTGTTTCTAGAAACTGTGAGCAAAATGAACCTAAGTTCGTTGCTTAAGGATAATGACTGCATCTTACTTATGATTTTACATCCAGTACCTTGCACAGGGCCTGGGTAACTGCATTTCAATCTAATAAATACATCAATGAGGAGTCAGTTGGGAGATACTACAGTAAACCAGATGGGGGAGGTCTTAAGGGTTTGGAAACTAAAAGGAAGGCTGAAACTGAAAAAGCCCCTGGAAGAAGATTTACTAGGACCTGCTAACTCTGGGAGTCTAGGGGCACAAAGAAGCAATGATAGCAGGATGGCTGGGAGCACCACGGCACCGCCGAAGGAGGAAACTAGAAAACAAGACAACTCAAAAGAGGTGGCTATTTCCAGGGGATGGTGATGAACTTGGATTGTTATATAATTAGGTTTCTAGTAACAGGGAAATCTCCCAGAAGAGATTCTGGAGAAGGCTAGAAATACTTATTCGGGAGTCAGTATGGAAATGGTAATTCATATAATGAGAGCAAATGAATCCCCAAAGGGGGAAAAAAATGAAGAGTGAGAAAACCATGAAGTTAAGGGCCAAACATGGAAAGATACTTAGGGAACCTAATAGAAAGAAAAGGATGAATGAAAAAGGCCCAGGCCCCATGAATGGCCCTCAGGGTCTGACATGTTGCCCACTCTCTCTGATTTACCACACTACTGCTGCATGGACTCAGCCTTGAGTTCATTAAGAGTGAGACTGTCTAAATGAAGCTGGACAAGTGACAAGAGGCTGCAAACCTGTTCCAATGGCGGGAAGGGAAACAGAAGTGTATTTCCTCTGTTCACACTCTTCTAGAACACAGCAAACCGTTTCTTTGACATCGTTTTCCCCAAGAACATGAATTATTATCTTGCACATTAAGCATCCACCTTGTGTAATTATATAATCTCTGTGAGGCTGTGTAGCTGCAAAAAAAAAAAAAAAAGAGAAGAAAAGGAAACAGAGCACATTACTTACGGGAAGCAATGCTGATTATGAGAAATGAAAATAGCTGACATCAGAAAAAGCTGTGAAAATTCCTGACAAATGAGCCTCCCTCTGTCTAATGGGTTTCACTCCCTGGGACTGTGACAGGCTCATTTTCTTTACAATCTGGATTCTGTAACTCAACAACTACATTGTTGAACATTTTGAGCGTTTTTTAAAAGCACTCTACCTGTGTTAATCCTCTCAATCCTCGAAACAAGCCTATAACACAGGTACTGGTTTCTCCATTTCATAGATTAAACAGAGGCACAGAAATGTAAGGTCAGCCGCCCAAGACTGTCCAGGATTTGAACCCAAGCACTCAGTGTCCAGAGTTCTTAATTTCCATTCTACTGTCCAGAAGAGCAATTTATCTGGTCATTCAGCTGGATTAATTTTTCAAGTAGGTGAAAGCAACATATTCTGTGGTGTGAAGGTGTGAAAGGATATAAACTGACCCCATCTCCCCCCATCTTGAGAGCTCTTAAGCGCATGGAAATTACCAAGGCTTGTTTTTAGTCACTGACCTTTTCGTACCCTGGGTAAGGTGGGCTTCCAGCAAATCAGGGGAGGAGGAGAGTAGGTCCCTACCCACCCCATCCTCCCCTCCCAGGCAGCTTCCTTAGGCTTTTCCAGCTTGTCCAACCCAGCCAACTTCATTCTCTGTTTCTGCTTTCTGGCACATAAATCCCTGCTAAAGTCCTCTTTTTGGTGACCAGTATTACCTTCCTCTGATCTCTCTCCAGGAATTCATTGGCTCCAGAGGAAATATCTTAATCAGAGGAAAGCTATTAAGGTGGGAGTTTTAGCCACGATAGCAGGTCAGTTGTGGAAATGTATTGTCAAATGTGGGGCCGTATGACTTTCTCAAATCATACTCATAGCTGACTGCCTACTGTATCCTGCAAGGTTGAGTCCTGGTTTTGAAGGATAAATAGTTTGATTACTCTTACAGGTTCCCCACTGTGATATAATTAAAAATAAATATTTTACTCCTGGTTCCTGCTCAGAGTTCCTGGAACCTTTTGGATCCCCTGAGAGATGAGTATCTTTTATATACTAATGAATAACTCCTGGGGGTGGGGGGGAGGTTATGGGGCTATGGCTTCAGAATGGGGGCTGGTCTCCGGAAAGACCGAGGCATCATTCGAGGGTTGGAACTCTTAGCCCCATCCCCTGACCTCTAGGGAGAGGAAGGGGCTAGAGATTGAGCTCATTCACAAATCTGATGATTTAATCAATCACGCCTACATAATGAAACTTCCACAAAACTGCCTAAACAACAGGATTCGAGAATGTCCTGGTTGGTAAACACATCTAGGTGCTGGTAGGGTGGCATGCCTGGAAAGTGCATGGAAGCTCTATTCCTCTTCCCCCATACCCTGCCCTATACATCTGTTGGAATAAACTTCTAGGCCCACTCCCGCCTGGGGTGATACATCAGCAAACTGAAGTTTCAAACCAAACTTTCATTTTCCGGTAAATGCTCCACTTGACCAGAAACACAGTATGTCCAGTCAGCCAATTCCCAAACACCAAGTGAACTCTGGGCTCCATACTTATCTCTTGTTCTTTGATCTTTCTAAATAAAGTCAGATATGCAACCCCAGACAATCCAATCACTCTCTGTTTCCATGTTGCTACTTCTAACCA